TGCAATTTTGTAATGCATTACTTTTAAAAGTAACTTTCACCAACATTTCTGTTAACCATGCAGCTGCATATAAATGCCCTAGCAACCGCATAGCAACAGCCTGGCAGCCACTCAGTGGTGGGGAAGAGTTTTAAAGTCGTTTATTTGATAAATATGTAATATTGCGATGCTCTGCACAGAGCGGAGTGATGTGAGTGTGATCTCTCTAACAGGTGTATGATGGAGTGAGTCTTTTATAAACGAGTGTCGCTCAGGTGAGTTCAGACGCTGAGCTGATCTTATGTAAAGAAACCGCGGGACCGGTGCATCCGGTGGAGCCAGTTACTGAACACAAGAATGAAAGCGCTGGATTTGACAATAGCATTGGACTCGACGCTGACAAACACAATGACACACACTCGCGGCTCTCGGGTCTCAGGGTTATCGTGTTCAGTCTGGGTCCTGTCAGAAACGGCGTGACACTTCAGCGTCTGCAGGACGAAGTGAGGAAAACCTTTAGAAATCAAAGCAGTGAAGAAACGCAGCTCTGAGCAGCAGAAGATCTCAGGGATTCTGAGTGCTGCGGCTCCTGATGCGTTACTGCCCCCTGTGGCCATTAATAACACTTCACTACTGCTCTACTGCAGCTGTTCATCTCATTTCACACTATTTGCATTTAATTCTATCATTGAATGCTGTATTGTACTGTTCATGTTTTTTTCTGGTATGTGTAACATATGTGTAAATATACAGTATTTTTTATATACAGGCTTATCAGGCAATCTTTTTTTTGGGGGGGGGGTCTTATTATTATTACTCTTATTATTATTATTCTCTAGATATGTAATTTAGTACCATAGTCAATTTTGATTTTATTACAATTCTTTGCTAAATGCACATTACGGTCCACAATTTAGTGTGTTATACATACATAGTGCTTTTCTTATCATTTCTTTTTTTTTTATTAGTATTTAGTAGTTTTTTATATTTCTATTTAGCTTTATTTTTATTTCAGTTTTAGTGCATTCTAGTACCTAAACTTATTTTATTTCATTGAAATCGGGCTGAAATAAAATAAAATGTTAAATGAAATATTTTTAAACCTCTTTAATTTCTCATTTCCAAATTAATTTATCTTTTTATTTCCAATTTTCCTTCAGGTTGTGCTACATTTTTTCAGCTTTATTTCAATTAACCAAACGCTTTTTAATAACTGAGTAATTTCAATTAATTTACAAATTTTTTTATAGTTAACAATACCAACACTGATGTGTTTTTTACGTTTTCTGTGCTGATTGTGAAAGACAATCTGCGGAAACTTGTCAAAGTGTGTTAACTGAGCCGAAATACCACTGAATCATCATCATGACACTGGTCAGATGTACAGCAGTGACGTAACATCAGGACTCATCATTAATCAGGCAGTCAACAATCAGTCTGCTCACGTCACGATACCCACTCAGACTATTTCAAGAACACCAGGATCAAAATAGTTCAGCTGCACACACAATGTGAACAAAGACGGGAACTTTCAGTGCAATGATCTGAAAGTTTATCAGGGCCTTTGTGTCTGAAGAGAGTGAAGAAATACGCTATGCACACCCACACGCTGATTTCTGAAAGGAAATGTCAACATAGATGCAATAAATCAATCAGAAGTGCCAGTGAAGACGTTTCTAATGTTACACGAGATTTCTGTTTCAAATAAACGCTGTTCTTTTGAACATTCTATTCAACAAAGAATCCTAAAAAATGTATCAGTTTACACAGAAATATTGTGCAGCACGACTGTTTTCAACATTGATGATAATCAGAAATGTTTCTCGAGCAGCAGATCAGCATATTATACTGATTTCTGAAGATCATGTGACACTGAAGACTGGAGGAATGATGCTGAAAATACAGCTGCTCATCACAGAAATACATTACAGTTTAACACATATTCACAGCTGTTTTACACTGTAATAATATTTAACAATGTTTACTATATATTTGATCAAATCAATCAGAAGCAGAAGAGACTGAATCACTGATCACACACCACATCACTGATGAAGTAATAAATGTGTGTAACAGAAGTCATGTGAAATCAGTTCTCACTTCAGTGCGGCTTCAGTAACATCTAGTGGTGAAATCTCTACATGTCGGCCAGACTTTGACTATTTATCAAAAATGGAAAAACAACAGGTGTCCTGACATTTTATCCTGCTCCTCAGATGGTCCTACCAGGGTTTACTGCGCATGCGCACATCAATATTGCGTCATTTTTCTCACGCTATATTACTGTACGATAATTACTGTATTTGCATTACAGTAAGGGTTGGGGTAGGTCTAGATGTTATTAAAACACAATCTAATAGGTAGAATTTTTTTTTATTTTATTAATTTATTTCTAGCCACAACCCTGAGCAACACATAATTACTGTATTTGCTTTACTGTTAGCATGGTTTACTGTTAATAAACCATAATTTGACAGGTAGCATTTTTCTTTATCTAATTGTAGGCTACCACCTACTGTTTTAATGCGACGTAGCAAAATCTGACAGAGCTGAACCCTGCTCAGTTTCCCCTGCATTTAGTCAAAAGTTAGGGAAACTTTTTTACGGCATTTTACAGAATTCAACTAATATTTGACATCAAATTCTTCAATTATAACACATGAATCTGAGATTGTAATCTGCTGCTGATAGAGTCTTTAGAAAGACGACATGAAACAGAAATGATGCACACACTACCTATCTAGGCTAATGCACATAGAGTGTATAAAATCTAAACACTAATAGTGTTTTTAACCATTTAGGGCCAGATTTGCTCAAATTAGTGCGAGAGTGCAGTTCCAAAACAGCGCCGATGGGTGTGGACATTTTTGCGGGTGATTTACTGATAATGTGCTAATTAAAGAACACAGATACAACATCTCATTTACATATCGATCATCGCAATATACCAAGCTCAGCGCAAATTAGCAGAGCCGATCTCATCAGATGCGCGAGATCTATTTACGACAGTGTGGCGTTAAGTAATCTGACGAGTGCAAACATTAGTAAAACACCTTGCGTGATTCATTTTAATACTCTCCTCCCATTAATTTTGCGTCTGCAAGGGAAACTCCTACAAATGCATATTCAGTAAGGTCAGGCGCAATAATAACTGTGTCCACGTAATTTGTCACTGCATGTCTTTAGTAAATCCTGACAGTACTGTTTTAACGCCAAAAGACGGTGCATTGGCGCAAGCTGTTAATAAATCTGGCCCTTAATTCCTATTGGTCAAAATTTCACATAAATTGATATCACTGTAAAAGGCCACAGGACAAGTTTGTTTTTAATATAAATTTACTGTCCTCACAGATATGTGACATTATTTGTATGAAGTATTTTACACTGGATTTGGATATAAATCAGACTGACAGGTCTGAGACACTTGATTTCATAATATATCATCAGTCATTAATATCTTTGCTCATTTGACTGATATCAGTATCTGGTCTTGAATCCTGGGCTGTATTTGATGAGATCTGATCGTCTTGAGTTGAGTCTGAATGTGAGAGGAGACACAAGAGTCTCAGTCTTCATCTTCTCCATTACATGTATTTATCCAAACTCTCAATAGCGTCCGGTTTTGAGTATTGTTTCCATTCATCTGGTATCCTTCCACTCCCCTCAAATGTTTTACTGTAGTGTTTCTCCAGATCTCTCTGGAATCTGCACACAAACCACTTCCAGTAGGGCAGTTCAGAGAGATCAGGGCTGATGCTCCAGTCTGCATAAACTCCTCCTGCTCTTCTGTAATCTCTATATGGAAACCTCTGAGCTGATACACAAAATGTTCTTTCACTTGCCACTAAACTTGTGCAAATATCAGCACAGAGATTCTGTGTAGAAGTGTAATATGTGCCATTAATTCCATCCACTCTGTGGAAAGCAACACTGTGATCTCCATCATGGTTTTCTATGATGTTTGAGCAGACGGCTTCACAGAACGGACACTGAACCCAACAGCACTGACAGAAGAGATCAATCAGAAGCTCATCTGCTCTGAACTTGAGGTCCAGTTTTTCATCAAATGACCTTCTATTGAATCTCCTGCTGATGTCTGACACTATAGCAGTAAGTTCTTGCCTCATCACATCTTCTAGGAGGTTGAAATCATCCACATCAACATGTTTGACTCCACGGAGGTGTTTCTCAGAGAAGATCAGCTCATCTGAGAGCTGCTGTGTGAAACTCTTCCACCACAAACCAGCATCTCCTCTGTTCTCTCGAGCATGTTCAGTAGATTGATGAGCTGTTCTCATGATCTTCTGCTGCAGGAGTTCAATGTTCTTCTTCATCTTGGGTAAAACACTGACACTGAACCGATCACTGATGTACCGACTGACTTCATCTCTGATGAAACCACTGAAGTGATCTCTGGGATTGTGAATGTAGTTCATGTATTTGTTAAAATCCTCCTCTGCTGCCAGTGTCTTCAGGATGTGTTTCTCCAGATTTGATCGGTTTCTATTCAGTGATTCACAGTTTGATCTCATTTCATCCGTCAGATCTCTGCCAGTCTTCTTGTAGATGCTCTGCTCAATGGGCTCTTTCAGTTTCTGACAGATATTCTCACCAAAAAGAACAGCTGATGCAGCTCCATGACAGTATTTCTGGAAAATACTATAGTACTCTTCTCTCTTCTTCTGAACATATATTACAGGATCATTGGCTTCTCTGAACAGTCTGTGTTGGTGAGTGATCATCTTGTTCGCTCTCTTACAGATGGACAGAACCAAATCCAGGAAGAATTGATTCCTGAACACATATCTCGCTGGTCCTTCCTCATGCTCTCTTACTCTCGCTCTGATGTAATCTGTGAGTTGTTGAATGCAGCTGGTGTTGTAGCCCATCTTTGAGATGTTAAATGACTGAATCATTCGGTCTGTCTGCTGAGCAACATCTGAGACTAATGATCTTATTTGTGCTTCATCCTCTAGAGACAGAGTTCGAACAAATCCAAATGTTTCTCTAGCTGTTCTGTAAGCATCCTTTGCAGCCCATTTAAGGCCACTTTGTTTGGACTTTCTGAGAATAACATATTCAGAATAACTCTGCAGAGTGCAAATATCCCTGCTCTCCCTCCAGTGATCAGCAGGAGTGCTTTCATAGACGTCACTGAGGACCTCTCTCACATCTCTCATTATATCAATGTCTCTGATTGCAGGAGTGTCTCTGATGATCTCCTTCACACACTGATCCCAGAACAAATCAAACTCTTTCTTCAGTGTGTCTTCATCGATTGCTTTGTCTTTGAGGTTTAAGGCGAGTTCTTTGCTCTTTTCATAGAGAGTGTTTTCATGATGTTTTCTCTGAGCATCAATCTTTTTCTTCAGGTCTCGCTGCTGCAGAACCTCATTTAATTTCCTCTTTGTTTCTCTCACAATGTTTTTCTGAATCTCTTTGATCTTGATTTCAAATAATGTTTTCCACTGAATCAGTATATCTTTATCTGTGTCTCTCTCAAAGAATTCAGACATTGATTTCTTCACTTCTTCACTTGTCTTCTTCAGCTCTCTCTGAAGATCAGTTTCTTCAACCTCATGAATCGCATCATTTTCTATTCTGTTGTGTAGTTTGTTCTCAGTTTCCAGCATAGCACTGCGAAGCCTCCAGGACCACTTCCTGTATTCAGTCTTCAGTTTCCTGTAAGCCGAGATTTCCAGAGCGTTTCTGAAGCTGAAGACGAATTGTTCATTCAGTAAGGCCTCCCAGAGATCTTTAATACGATCTTTCAAGTGTGTCAGCCTCATTCCATGTGATTTTGTGGCATGAGACATAATAGTTTTCTTCAGTTCTTGAATGTTCTCGCAGTATGTTGGGTTTGGTGGAGCCATCGGTGGGCATCCCTCCCAGAGCTGAGCGAAATACTTCACATCTTTCTGAACATCAAATCTAATGATATCACTGAAACATTCTGCATCACAGACTTCCTCTTTAGCAGCGAGTTTTGTCATCTTGTCCAGTTTCTCCTGCAGTCGTCTCCTTCCCTCCATGTTCTTCTCTCCAGCTGTGACGTCTGAGATGTTCTGATGCACAAACACACAGCTGGGATTCAGTCTGACCTTCTTCATCCTCATGAAGTCCTGAACAACGATCTGAAGAATGTCCTGCATCTCAGCTGGGTTTTCTCCAAAGATGTTGATCAGTGTCAGATTTCCCAGACCTACAACAAATGTGGCCAGTTCATTGTCATGATGTCTTGTTGATCTTCCGGACAGTTCTAGAGCATGAAGACCCTCAGTATCAACAACCAGAATATAGTCAGTGTTCATCTGTGTTTTCATCTCGTCTGAGACTCTGAGCAGCTGCATGAAAGCTCCTCTGGTTGTTCTTCTAGCACTGACAGCAAACTGCAGTCCAAACATGGCGTTCAGCATGGTGGATTTCCCAGAGCTCTGGATCCCTAAAACTGACAGCACAAAGACTCTCTGGTCTCCTAGTCTCTGATTGAGTTGATCTAGAACAGCAGAGATCCAGACCACAGGAACATGAGCAGCATCTCCATCCATCAGCTCCAGTGGAAACCCAGAGATCATCATCTCTGCTGCGAGACTCGGGAGAGAAGAGAAGTGAACCTGCAGGTCTTTCTTGTTCTTCTGCACAGATGAACACGATTCATAGATCTGACCGATCTCCCTCATGATGTGCTCCACACCAAAGCCTGCAGCTTGAAGATCCTCAGATATTCTCTCAAGCTCAGATTGTTCACCTCTGAGATGTTCAGATTTATTATGGTTCTCTTTCAGTTTCAAGACTGCTGACCACTTTTCATCATATTTGTGATGTAGAGCAGAAAGATCAGCTGATGTATGTTCATCCAGGAGGATTCTGAGCCATTTAAGGAAAAACATCTTTGTGGCAGTGTGTGAGTTCATTTCTTTAATAAAGAGCTTCATAAACTCACTGATGTCAGATTCATACTGCTTTTGACGGATTTTCCACATTTCTGTTTGTTTTCTACTGATGTCCATTTCGATCTCATCTCCTTGAGGTCGATGTAGTTCTTTGTTCTTCTGACTCCACTGATGCCACAGTTTGCCCTGATGAGGCAGAAACCATTCTTTGACTTTCGTCAGATCTTTCTTCTCCAGTAAACTCATCATCTGCTGTGCTGCTGCTCTTCCTCTCCTGCAGTCTTCATCATCTGCCTCATCTACTCTGACGTCTGAGAGTTTGGACACATCTTCAAGTCTGAAAGTGTGAGATGAATCTGAAAGACAAGCATTTATAGCTCTTCTGAGTTCTTCAGACACATCTGACTGATTTCTGTCTTTCAAACCAATTTTATATTTTCCTTTTCGTGTCTCAATGATGGTTGATTCATCCTCAGTACAAAGACAAATGAGTGGCTTTGAGTCCTTGTAGAGTTCTTGAACTTTTATCATACTTTTGTCATTCTTCTGAAGTCGTGGCAGAAGAACAACATTGACTGAGCTCATGTCAGTGAGGATCTGCAGCTGTTTCTCATGGTCTCCTGCATCACCATGAAGATTACAGAACGCAACACAGTTTGCAAATTTATCTTTTTTTTCTCCAAAGGGGCAGAACCAGGCGATCTCCACCACTCCGTCCATCAGGACTCTGGTGCTGCTGCTGCCTGGGCAGTTCCTGTGGAAGAACGTGTTGTGTTTCTCATTGATCA